ATTATTATTATTATTATTATTATTAGAGGCCCGGTGCATGAAATTCATGCACGGGAGGGTGTCCCTCAGCCCAGCCTGCACCCTCTCCAAACTGGGACTCCTCGGGGGATGTCCAACTGCCGGACCTCCCTCTCACAATCTGGGACTGCTGGCTCCTAACCACTCGTGACCTGCCTGTCTGCCTGATTGCCCCAAACTGCTTCTGCCTGCCAGCCTGATCACCCCCAACTGCCCTCCCCTGCCGGCCCGATTGCTCACAACTGCCCTCCCCTGCCGGCGCAATCGCCCACAACTGCCCTTCCCTGCTGGCCATCTTGAGACAACGTGAGGGCACCGTGCGAGGGCCACCTAGGCTTTTATTAGTATAGATTGCTTCTACTTCATCAATTGTTATTGGCCTATTCCTGTCTTTTTATTCTTCCCGATTGAGTTATGGAAGATTCTATTTTTTAGTAATTTGTCCATTTCATCCACATTGTCCAACTTGTTGGCATGTTCACAGTATTTTCTGACAATTCTTTGTATTTCTCTGGGGTCAGTTTTTACTTCACTGCTTTCATTTCTGATTTTATTTATTTGGGTCCTCTTTGTTTCTTGATGGGTCTGGCTCATGGCAATCTTGTTTATATTTTCAAATAAAAGCTCTTGTTTTCATTCATTTTTTTGTTTTGTTTTTTGTTTTTTTTTGTCTCTGTCACTTATTTCTGCTCTAATCTTTATTATTTCCTTCATTCTACTTACTCTGGTCTTTTCTTGTTCTCTTTCTAATTCTTTAAGTTGTAGGGTTAAATAATTGATTAATTTTTTTGTGTTTTTTAAGGTATGTCTGTAGTGCTATGAACTTCCTCTCAGAACTGCTTTCACTGTGTCCCATAAATTTGGGGTTGTTGTATGTTCATTTTCATTTGTTTCCAGGAAGTTTTTTATGTCTTTCTTGATCTCATTGGTAACCTGTTCATTGTTTAATAACATGCTATTTAGCCTCCATGTGTTTGAATGTTTGGGAATGTTTTTGCTGTTGTTGATTTCTAATTTAATTCCATTGTGATCTAAGAAGATGCTTGATATGATTTCAATCTTCTTGAACTTGGAGAGACTTGATTTGTGTCTCAACATGTGGTCTATCTTTGAGAATGACCCATGTTCACTTGATGTATATTCTGTAGCTTTAGGGTGAAATATCCTATAAATGTAATTTAAATCCATCATTTAGAGTCTCTGTTTTCCTGTTAATTTTTTGTCTGGAAGATCTATTCAGTGATGTCAGTGGGGTGTTAAGGTCCCCTACTATAACTGTATTGCTGTCAATCTCTTCCTTAAAGTCCTCTAGAATTTTTTTTATTTTTTATTTTAGATATTTAGGTGCTCTTGTATTGGGTGCATATATGTTTACCAGGGTTATATCCTCTTGTTCAATCAGTCCCTTTAGTATTATGTAGTGACCTTTATAGTCTCTTGTGATGGCCTTCATTTTGAAGTCTTACTTTGTCACTTATGAGTATTACTACCCCAGATTTTTTTTTCTCGTTTCT